CTACCACCATTACCCCAGCCACTGAATCAATCCATTTCATCGAGGGTCTTCCTCTCCTGCTCTGTCCCTCTGCCCTCCCAAGAATGACATCCCTCTCCAAAGACTGATCCCTCCTTACAACATGTCCAAAGTAAGTCAGATGAAGCTTCAGAATCCTTGCCCCAAGGAGCAGCCTGATTCTACCCTCTCCAAAATGAACTTGTTTGTTCTCCTAGCAGTCCATGGTATATCCAGTATTCTTCTCCAGCACCACAACTGTCCCATTGCCAAATCCATATTGCAAGTATTCAGAGACAATATACTCACTTGACCTTTGATAGGTACCCCAAGATTAGAGGACTGGCTGGCATAAGTAATAATTTGAATTGTTGTTTGTTTTGTACTTTTGAATCAGAATAGACTCAACTGACCTGCAAGTGGGTTTTCAGAGTAAGGAAATCTCAGGAGAATTTGGCTGTCCTTTTCCTGCAGAGCAGCTGGTGGATTAAAAAATCATGTGCCTTTGGTATGACAGTGCAGCTCCTTACCACCAAGCCACCAGAGTTCTCTAATAGTAGTAGCAAACATCAAGCTCATTTCCAAGTGGTAATCTGGTGTAATAGAAGGTGCACAAAATTTAGTATTTGAGCCCCAGATTCTTCCCTGACAAGCTTTAAGAAACCTGGATAAACCTTTAAAATCCTCAACTTCTTTACCTAGAAAATAGGAATAATACACTTTATACAGGTTATTGTTATAGAAAATAGTGACATTAGTTTTTAAATAGAGGGAACAGTAAAGTTCTATTTAAGAATTGGTTACATTTTTCCATCATATGACAGAATTTTCAGAATTTTCTCCAAATCTCTTATGTAAAATAGTGTGCTCACAAACCATTTAATGAGCTTACTCGAATGGAGCAATGAATATGTATCCCAGGATACCAGTCCCAGGAGCATTCGTTTGCACCTGCAGTTACCTGCTTTGTTCAGAATTTTCCAGGGAAGCATAGGTAACTATCAGGAAATTGGCTTCCTGAATGATGTATAGTCACTGCCAAAGCAACCAATCATTTTGTTACCCCAGGAAAAGTTCAAATTAGAAAACTCTGAAAGTTTGAATGATTTTATTAAAACTTCCCCCTAAATCAGAAATGCATTGAAGAATGTTAACTATTCCATTCCTTGAGATGAGAAAAGTGGTTTAGCCAAGAACACTCAGGGAAGCATCCTGGCCAGCAGGGTGCTCCATTTACCTTCTAGTTAGAAGTCCATCTACCTTCTGGTTCCCTTCCCTTTTCATTAAGCTCCTTTTCTGTTAAGCTTGTAGCTCTGACTCATGGAGTTGTGTAAGGTCCTTTCATTTCTTTTTCTTAGTTGTCCTTTTAATTGTGCTTCTCATTGAGAAAGCATAAAGGCAAATAAAACCCCATTAATATACTTACATTTTTATCCACTGTTGAGTCTTTTCACCCATCCCTAATGGCCCACCAGGAGAATCGAAATGATTTTACTCCACAGATAACCTACAGGAAGTCAATATTAGCCCCACCTCTCTCTCACCAAGCTTTTAGCGAAAGAGAAAAAACACTGTACAATTGATGAAAATTAAAGTGAAGGTGAAGCTGGAGAACTTGAAAAGTTTAAAAGTTGACCGGTTCTCAAAATCAATTCTCAAAATATAAGAGATTAAGAATACTTGTCTAAGACCTGTGGGAGCCAGTTAGCAAAGAACTTGTGATTTAAATACCAAATACTTTTGCAAAGGAGCTCACAGGCACATATCTGTCACAAAGGATAATGCTTCTCAGTAGAAACCAATTTATATTCTCACCTTTGAATCAAGAGATAACATCCCTTTTCAATATTCCAAAATAAAATGTCTATATATAAACTTTAGATACACACACACACACACACACACACACATATACACACACACACAAATATACGTACATGATAACATGTGTATACACATACATACATGTTATTGTTAGGTACCATCAAGTTAGTAACAACTCATAGCGATTCTATGTACAACACAACAAAACTGTCGCACAGCCATTGTAATGTTTGAGTACCCAGTTGAAGACACTGTCCTATCTTTTGGGATTCTTTTTCATGCTCTTCAGTTTCCCCCCTTTCATAGACTGGGTGCATCCAGGGTTGCATCTGATAATTGAAATAAGTCAACTTGTATCCCATCGACTGTTGGGGCCTTCAATGTAGCTTGCACTTCTTGCTTCATTACCATTGGCTCCTGTTCAAATGGCGCTTCCTGAAATTTTTCAGTGTGCCTCAGTTCATCTTGGTGCAGTGATTTCTGTGTATTCTCTGCATCTTCTTTTGCTACTTATCTTCGCCATAACATCTTTCAATATTGTGACTTGAGGCTTAAATTTGTTTTCCCAATTCTCTCAGCTTAAAAAATGCAGAGTGAGTTCTTCTCTCTTTTTTCTTCAATTCCAGCTCTCTGCATATTCCATTATAATACTTTGTTTTGTCTTCTTGAGATGCCCTTTAAAATCTTCTGTGCTCTTTTACTTCAGCATGTTTCCCCTTTGTTTTGGCTTCTTGACACTAGTGCAATTTTTAGAGTCTTTTCTGACACCCATTTTGGTTTTTTCTTTTGCCTCTGCCTTTGTAAAGATCTTTGGCTTTCTTCATGGATGATATCCTTGATATCCTGTAACTCATCTGCTCTTCAATCATTAGTATTTAATGATTCAAACCTATTCTAAATAAGAAATTCTAAAGATGAATTCTTGAAATTCAGATGGAATAGATTCGTGATCATATCATGGCTCTCTTGGACTTTAATTTTATTCAGCCTCAATTTGAACTTGCACATGAGTAATTGATGGTCTGACCCACAGTCTGCCCTTGGCCTTACCAGTCTGTGCCAGGAAATTTGGAGGACAGATGTCTGGCCCACAGATTCGAAGAGATCTAGAGATATATGTTTGTTCCCAATCCTAAGAAAGGTGATCCAACAGAATGTGGACACTATCGAACGATATCATTAATATCACATACAAGCAAAATGCTGCTGAAGATTATTAAAAGCCAGCTAGAGCAGTACATAGACAGGGAACTGCCCGAAGTTCAAACAGGATTTAGAAGAGGCTGTGGTACCAGGGATATCATTGCTGATGTCAGATGGATCCTGGCTGAAAGTAAAGACTACAAGAAGAATGTCTATTTGTGTTTTTTAACTATGCAAAGACATTTGACTGTGTGGATCATAACAAGTTATGGCTGACATTGAGACGAATGGGAATCCCAGAGCAATTAATTGTGTTCATGTGAAACCTGTACGTAGAACAGTGCAAGGGAATACTACATGGTTTAAAATTAAAAGGGAGTGCACCAGGATTGTATTTTCTTTTTGTACCTATTCAATCTGAGCTGAGGAAATTATTTGAGAAGCTGGACTCTATGAAGAGGAATGTGGCATCAGGATTGAAGGGAGACTCATCAATAACCTGTCTCATGTGGATAACACAACCTTGCTTGCTGAAAGTGAGGAGAACTTGAAGCAGCTGTTGTAGAAGATCAAGAAATGCAGCCTTCAATATGGATTGTATCTCAATGTCAAGAAAACAAAGATTTTTAGCACTGGCCCAATAGGTAACATCATGATGGATGGAAAAGAGATTGAAATTGTCAACAACTTCATCTTACTTGGATCCACAATTAACATTGTTGGTACCAGGAGTCAGGAAATAGAGACACATTGCACTGGATAAATCTGCAGTTAGGGACCTCTCCATATTATTGAGGAGTAATGATGTCAGTTTGAGGACTAAGGTGCATCTGATTCAGGCCATGGTCTTTATGATCCTTGCTATGCATCGGAGAGCTGGACAATGAATAAGGATGATGGAAAAATAATTGATGCCTTTAGGCTGTGATGTTGGAAAAGAGCAATGAATGGCCTATGGATGGCAAAAGAACGAATAAATATGTCTTGGAGAGGATGCAGCCAGTGTGTTCTTTGGAGACAAAGATAATGAGGCTTTGCCTCACATACTTTGGGTATGTTGCTAGGAGGGGCTATTCCTTGGAGAGGGACTTGATGCTCAGAAAGGTAGAGGGTAGGAAAAGGAAAATAGTACCCTTAACCAGGTGTATTGACATGGTGACTGCTGCAATGGGCTCTAATGTGTCAGGCAGTGTGATGACACAGATAGGATGGGGTTCAGATCTGTTGTTCATAGGGTCAGTATGGGTCATACTCGACTCAGTGACACTTAATATCAACAGTTGGGTTTTTTAAAAAAAATTACTATTATACTTTAGGTAAAAATCAATGAAGAAAACTGGTTTCCCATTTGACGTTGGTTGCATTGCAAACCATATGTCAGCACTCTCTTCCCTTCTGTCTTGAGTTTCACTTTTTCTTCTGTCCAAATGTTCTGCCTCTTTCTAGTTTCTCATCTTTACTTCTAAGCAAATGTTGCCCGTTTTATTTCATGTAACTACTTGTTTTAAGGCATAACTCTCGCGGGTATTATTGTTTATTTTATGGACTAGCCTTGTTCGCCTGAAAGGTGATCTCTGAGAAGAGCTTCATTTCCAAGTCAGAAGGTGGTTCTGGAGCCATCGCCTTGGCACGAGATGCCTTTGTCTTTATAACTGATCCCCTGCTTTGCAAATCATGATGTTCTTTCCCAGGAACTGAGCCCCTCCTTATGACATGCCCAAGGTACGTAAGACAAAGTCTCCTCATCCTTATGTTTAAGGAAAATTCTGGCTGTACTTTATCCAAGACAGATTTGTTCATTCTTCAGGCAGTCCATTCAATATTTTTTTACTAATTCCATAATCCAAAGGCATAAATTATTGTATTTCTTATTCACTCTCCAGATTGCAGTTAACATTTATTAACAGCATAGATATGAACCTTTTTGTGAAATTCAAAGAAATGTTATACTGTTGTCCTAACTCAAAATATTCCAGTAACTGACTGTACTGTGGCAGAGGTGATCGAGAAGACCAAGGGCTCTCCTCTTGTACGCCATGCCTTTCCTTGATGTGCAGAAAAGGCTGAACATTAACATAGACCGATGGTTGACAATCCAAAGTGCAGAGCAGCCTTATAGGCTTTCAGCCCGATGCCATGCTTTTGAAAAAGAGTGGATAGAATGTGCCCATGGGATTGGTGGTGCCCAGGCAGAAAAAGAATGCAAGACTGAGTATGATGATTTCAGAGAATGTTTGCTTCATCAGAAAATGATTAAACGGATGGCTGACATCCAGAAGCAGAGGGACAAGCTGATAAAGGAAGGGAAGTACACACCTCCACCCCACCACTTGGGCAAGGGAGAGCCCCGGCCCTGAGCTGAGCACCTGCAGATCTTCACTGTAAAGATTCTTAAATGAAAACTTTGTGAAAGTGTCAAAAATAAAAATCTATTACTCCAAAAAAATATTCCAGATGTGCTACTTGAAATATAATGTCATTGACAATTATCACTAAGAGCTATCTGTATTTGAGAATATATCTACAAATATCAAAATTGGTGGACACAACAATCTAGATTTAACATTTCTGAAAAGATTCAGAATCTAGGAATTGTATTTTAAAGTTGACTTTTAAGTCTATTGAGCCTTTTTGTGAGATAGAAAAGACGTCTATGGTACATTTACAAGCTCACGTTCACTCTTTGAACCAGTGTTAAGGGATATTATAAGACTATAATCTCCTCTCAGGGAGCATTTACTCAATTATCCCTTTTGATTTTTTAAAAATCAGATATCTTGGAAAGCTAAATTGTAGATTAATTTGTATTATTTAAAAACAGTTACTTTGCCAGTGAAATCTGTTATCATCGTGGGTGCCTCATCTAAGACTTGGCTTATACTAGTATGTAGTATGTAGATTCTGATAATTGCTGTTAAAGTGATATGTTAAAAGTGTAAAGTAAAGCAGTAAGCCAGTGGAGATGACAACATGGATTGCAGGAATTTTGAACCCCTATTCCAGGACACAGATAAATCTTAAAGAGCCTTATCTTTAAACTCACCCTGTATCTTATTGAAGTAAGCAATAAAAATCTCAGCCTGGTCTCAATGTGCTAAATGCTACTGCTGAAAGGGTGTTAGACTGAAGGAAGCCAGTGGTGAGTTGTAACTGACACATGCACAGAACTGTTAACAATTAACCTTTCTCTCCCTCTCTGCATTCACAAGGAATCAGCCTGCAGGAAGCAAGAGCAAGCTTTCTTCTCCTTTTAGTTAGACGTAAAGGTGTTTTGCAGAAAAAAACTTCCGGCTGATTACATTGAAGAAAAAGTGGAGAATAACTTACTGGAGCATCACAATCTATAGGCTAGCCAGGTGCTGAAAGACACTGGCATGGGGAAGTTTCACTTCTAAGTATGTAGCACTGAATAATGTTACAATCCGAAGTAAATAAAACAGGACAGATAAAGATATTATAAATAAACTCTTGTCAAGTGCAAAGATAAACTAGGGTGATTTTCAAATTATTTTAAAATATTCCCAAGGGACAAATTATAAATCCTTGCTTTCTTTGTGGATGAATATACATTAAATGCTAATGTCTTTTTAAAAAATTTTCTCTTTCCCAAAAAAAGGATATTCTCTGCTCAAGGGAAATGGCTGCTACTGTGAAGGTAAAATTGGGTTTTTTAACATTAAAAAAAATGTTTTGGTGACTTGCCTGTTGTTGGGGTGTTAGAAGCATTGCCACCAGTAAGTTAAGCACCAACAAAGTTATCCATGGTGGGCGGATTTCAGCAGAGCTTTCAGACTAAGACAGACTAGGGGGCGGAAAGGGCCTGGAAATCTACTGCCAAAAATCAGAGGGTGAAAATTTGATGGATAATGTTGTTGTTGTGATGTACCATCAAGTTGGCTACAACTCAGAGCAATTTTATAAATTAATAGCTGTGAACCTTGCCCTATCCTGAGTCAACCTCACTGTCAAACTCACTGTGTCAATCCATCTCGTCCATGGTCTTTCTCTCCTGCACTGACCTTTACCTTTCCAGGTATGATGTCCTTCTCCAAGGACTGATTCTTCCTGACAATATGCCCAAAGTAAATAAGATAGAGCTTCAAAGTCCTTGCTTCCAGGGAGCAACCTGGTTTCACCCTTTTCAGGACAGACCAGTTACTGTTAATTCTATTGGCAGTCCATGGTATGTTCAATACTCTTTTCCAGCACTACAACTCAAAACCATCAATTCTTCTTTTGTCATTCTTGGTCATTGTCCAGCTCTCAGATGTTTAAAAGGCAATTGAGAAGACTATGGCCTGGATCAGTTACACTTTAGTCTCTAGACTGACATCATTGCTCTTTAGCACTCGGAACAAGTCCCTGACAGCAGACATTCCTAAAGCTACTCAGATAATAGCAAGTATTAATTGTGCTCACGTTATGTGTTAGATGCTGCATTAGGAAGTGGGTATAGAGCTGACACTGCTCACGTGTAGCCTACAGACAAGCATAATAGAAATACTGCTTGCATATCTCCACCCCTCTCAGGGTCCTATTAATTTCTGTCCAGGACAATTCTATGTTGTTCTAATGCTCATCTTTTGTTTACATTTGGAGTTTCTTGGATCTTCCTAAAACATACAAATGATCACATCAATCTTTTGCTCAAAAACCTTCAGTAACTCTCATTTGTCTCTGTTGTCCTAGTAGGGACCTGGGCCAAGAGTCTATAGGCTGGACTCCAAAGAACAACCTGTTACTGTGGAAACTCAGATGGTTTCTAATCCTGGTTCTGCCTGAAACTCGCTATCAGACTTGAGTAAATAACTCACTTGTCAGGATCTTAGTTTCCATATTAATAACGGGTAGATTTTGGCGTTATGTGATGACTTCACAGTACCCTTCCAGCTCCTACTTGTCCTTTTAGGACTCAAAGTCTGTGAATTTTGGCATACCTTCTAGTATGCATAAGGGGAATGTCTAAAGAAAGGAAAGAAAACTGTCCTGGAGATTTTTGATTTTCTCTGTGTAGATGGAAAACATCCTTTGATTGACTTCTAGGAGGAGATGGCTTAATAATTCTCTGTTCTTTTCTTTCTTCAGTGTGAAAATACTGACTAGTGAAGTCACCATCCATGATGCACACCCCTCTTCCTGAAGTTAACTCCTTACCCCCTCAAAGAATCCCAGGCAATTGCTCAGTTCTTCATTCTGATTTCTGCTGTTTCAGAGTAGCATTGCTCTTGGTGGGGATAATTAACACTTGTTTGCCAGAAGATTGAAAGGCCTTCTTTCTAAAGACCTTATATGGCCTTAGCACAGTGTATGTTGTGCTGCTAGCCAAAAGGTTAGCATTTTGAATCTACCAGCTGCTCTTCAGGAGAACAATGAGTAGTGTCCTCCATTAAAGACAGCCTTGGTGGGGTGGGGTGCGCAGGGAGAAAAGTGCGGCAATGAATGAATGGAAATCCAAAATCTCTGTAAATGTCTATTAAAATTAATAATAAAAAAAAGTGAAAAAAAGACTGCCTTGGAAACTTGATGGAGGAATTTCTAGGTAGATCCAAACGGCCAACCTTTCAGTGAATTGATATTATATGCCATAGAGGCTCTACATTGTGTAGGAAGAGATTACCTATCTTTATTCCATGGAGCAGCCAGTTGATTCAAACTGCAAGCCTTTAGATTAACAGCACAATTCCTTACCACTAGAACACCAGAGGTCCTTTTTACTGAGTCAAGTTCTTAAGTTTCTTCCACATGGACTCTGAAATGATGCGGGGTGTATCAGAGAAGATTAGGACAACTAAGGCTGGCTCTATTGTTTCATGAGTCATAATACTTATGCTTAAAACTCCAGACACAAATACATCTTATGGTAATAAAAGAACATTAGGGCAACATGAAAAGCAGTGACTCCTTCCCAAGCTGGGCTCTGGCCATTGACTTTCTCATAATATTTTCTTCTGTAGCACCTAGCTCGGGAGCCAGTAATGATTCTTCCCTCTTCTAATAGTTTTCAGGCTTAACAGGCCAAACTCTTCTCTCTATCACTCAACACTGAGGTGGCAGATGGAAAATTTGGTGTGCTTGGCCTTTGGAGTACTAGTATATAAGAATAGCCATTTCTGTATATAAGGCAAATATGATTGTGCATATATCTGGGTTTTATATTAGAAAAGAAAGTCTTATGCTTCCAGAATAGATGTCTGTAAGCCCTCTGGTTCCCCTCACCCCTTCCTTGAAGGTACTATGACAAATTTGTTGCTGAATTATGGTCATCACAGCCACATAGGAGACAGCAAGGGAAAATGATGGTCTGTCATATATTACCATGATGTTCCCGTGTTATTCAGGGTGATTATACTGATTCTAGAGGTATATCATATTGACTACCAGCTCCAGCCTTACCCACCGCTGTGCCCCCTCTGTAACCTCCACAGCTATGGAGTGTCTGCCTGCTGGCTTCGTGGGGCTCTTGTGCATGCAGAGAAGAGCACGATGGGAAGATAATGAGAAAGATTTCTCAATCTTATTATTACATTTGTAATGGTGTATGTGAGTTTCACTGAGATGACAATTCATCGTCTGGGCTAGAGGGAAAATAATATATGCTTAAGGTGCCTGTAGTGTAGTTTACATAGTTCTGATGATCTTGCCTTTAAATTATGCCTTATAAATTCATGTAAAAGAAAAACCATGTCTAAAATATTTGGGAAATAATTATTCTTTAAGTGCAGAATGCATATAAGCTAGATAATTTTGGTGGTTATTGTGTATATAACAATAAAGTTATAGGAATTTTGGGTCTGACCTATAATTTTATCAGTCTGGCTACAAGATGAAAGTTAGACTTTTTTTTAAATAAAATATTTTTAAATTTTTTTATGCCTTATCCCCACACTTAGCTGCTTTTTCCTCCAAGAGACTGAATTACTAATTTGTCTTAATTGACTTAATAGTCATAAAGCACTTGGAAGGGGTTTGGAGTATGGTAAATGTTTAATAGAACAAATAAATACAAAATTGCACTTATAACAAAAATCTCAGCAACATTTTTTGGGACCATTCCAATAACTTTTGCATTATTAGTCAATCACAAATGAAAATGATTTTAGGTTTTATCTTAGTTTTAATGAAGATAAGTTAAATCAAATTAATAAGTCATGTTATTTGTAAACATCAATATTAAATTTCTTTTATATAACTTATTTCTCATGATTGTAGAAAGTCTGTGCAAATACAGAGGAAAAAATCTATTGTTGTTTCAAATATGCATTTGCATATCTTTAAAATGAAAATTCATGTTAAATTATAGATTTAAACATACCCTGATAAGTGATTTTTTGTGTTTTCCCCCCCATACATTGTGTTT